CACCGACACACACACGCAATGCAACGCAGCAATGGGGCTGCACCGCCGACACGCGCGCGCAATGGAACGCAGCAACGGGGCTCCACTGCTGACACATACACGCAATGCAACATGGCAATGGGGCTGCGCTGCTGACACACACGCGCAATGCAACATGGCAATGAGAATGGCACTGCCGACACACACGCGCAATGCAACGCAGCAATGGGGCTGCACCGCTGACACGCGCACACAATGCAACGCAGCAATGAGGACGGCACTGCCAACACACACACACAACGCAACAAGGCAACGGGGCTGCACCGCAGACACGCGCGCAATGCAGTGCAGCAATGGGGACAGCACTGCTGACATGCGCGTGCAATGCAACATAGCAATGAGGACGGCACTGCCAACACACACACACAACGCAACAAGGCAACGGGGCTGCACCGCAGACACGCGCGCAATGCAGTGCAGCAATGGGGACAGCACTGCTGACATGCGCGTGCAATGCAACATAGCAATGAGGATGGCACTGCTGACACACACGCGCAATGCAACACGGCAGTGGGGCTGCACCGCTGACAGGTGCGCGTAATGCAACACGGCAACGGGGCTGCACCGCTGACACACACGTGATGCAACACAGCAATAGGGCTGCACCGCTGACACACACGCGCGATGCAACACAGCAACGGGGCTGCACCGAAGATGCGCACGCAATGCAGTGCAGCAATGGGGACAGCACTGCTGACATGCGCACGCAATGCAACATAGCAATGAGGACGGCACTGCCGACACACGCGCGCAATGCAACACAGCAATGAGGACAGCACTGCTGACACACATGTGCAATGCAACACAGCAAGGGGGCTGCACCGCCAACACACACAAGCAATGCAACGCAGCAACAGGGACAGCACTGCTGACATGCGCGCGCAATGCAACATAGCAATGAGGACGGCACTGCCGACACACGCGCGCAATGCAACACAGCAATGAGGACAGCACTGCTGACACACATGTGCAATGCAACACAGCAAGGGGGCTGCACCGCCAACACACACAAGCAATGCAACGCAGCAACAGGGACAGCACTGCTGACATGCGCGCGCAATGCAACATAGCAATGAGGACGGCACTGCCGACACACGCGCGCAATGCAACACAGCAATGAGGACAGCACTGCTGACACACATGTGCAATGCAACACAGCAAGGGGGCTGCACCGCCAACACACACAAGCAATGCAACGCAGCAACAGGGACAGCACTGCTGACATGCGCGCGCAATGCAACATAGCAATGAGGACGGCACTGCCGACACACGCGCGCAATGCAACACAGCAATGAGGACAGCACTGCTGACACACATGTGCAATGCAACACAGCAAGGGGGCTGCACCGCCAACACACACAAGCAATGCAACGCAGCAACAGGGACAGCACTGCTGACATGCGCGCGCAATGCAACATAGCAATGAGGACGGCACTGCCGACACACGCGCGCAATGCAACACAGCAATGAGGACAGCACTGCTGACACACATGTGCAATGCAACACAGCAAGGGGGCTGCACCGCCAACACACACAAGCAATGCAACGCAGCAACAGGGACAGCACTGCTGACATGCGCGCGCAATGCAACATAGCAATGAGGACGGCACTGCTGACACAAGAAGCCGTATAGAAACAGGGGGGTTCTGTGAGGGGTGGGAAGCCCTATAGGAATGGGGGGAGGGGAAACCCTATAGAAAGTCCCACCCTATAGAAAGGTGAGACTGCAGGGACAGGGGAGGGGGCAACATCGTATGTAAGCCCCCACGGAAACTAGGGTCTGCGGGTAGAGAGGCTGGGGACAGGGCGGTGATGTGTGCAGCGGGAGACCCTATAGACCCTATAGGTGCTGGTGGCAGCCTCCTGGAAAGGGCTATAGCCTCTAGGGACAGGGAGAAGCCTCTGCAGAAAGGAGGGTCTGCAGGTAACGGGGGCTGGGAGCAGCTTCCTAGAAAAGGAGGTGACGTCCGTAAAGACTGGGGGAAAACCCTGTAGAGATGAAGCTTAGCAGTAACAGCTGCTGGGAGCAGTAGCCTATAAGGGACGCATATATAGCATGTGTAAGTGCCAGGACCTGGGTGCAGCCTCCTATAAGGGGACACAGTATCTATAAGAAGATGGGGAATCCCCCTATAAAAATGAGGGTCAGCAAACACAGGGGAAGGGGTAATGTCTATAGGGACGGCTCATGTAAGGGAGAGAGGATCTCTTGGACGCGGGGCAGCGCCTGTAAGCGAACATACTGCCCATAAGGACCAGGGTCTGTCCCTGTAAGGGGTCTTAGGGGGTCGCACCAGCTTTTACAGGGGCAGGGCAACACTTGGGGGAACTGGCTATGGGGAAGGAAAATGCCTTCAGAGACTGGAAGACAGATTCTGTGATGGAAAGGGGGATTGCCTATAGAAATTAGGGACAGCCCCTATGGAGAGAACAAGGGTCAGCCTTTAGCAGGAAAGAAAATAGCTGGCATCTTTAAAGACAATCCATGTATGGGGAATATAGTGCCAAAACCTATGGAGAGAACTGCAGAGAATTTCTTAATCTCCGTAAGCAATAGCTCTCCCTACAGAACGACCAAGGGTTGATGCCCTCTCGTGAAGTCTTGGTCGCTTAGGTTTTATTGGCAACTATTTGCTGTCCGTATTTTTTGTCCCATATGACAAAAAACGTTTCTCCCCTCCCTCACCCATTACTGTTTTCTGTTTCACACCTCAACGTCTCTTTGCTGCGTCATCACAGGAAGCTCGGGTGGCAATCCTGGTACATCAGCAAAGGGATTTTCTAGTAGGAAGCTGCAAAGGATCACGCCTGATGCTACACCAAGAGCGTGTTACAGGCCCTTGGCCCAAGGCTGTCCTCTTATTTCCCAGTCAGCATTTTTGACTCTGTTGTATCCGCTTGCTTCGCAGTTCAACAGAGGTGTGCATGTAATTTCCTGTCAAGTGGGCTAAGGCCACAGAAAGATTTGCTGAGTGGCTGTAGTTCACTGTGAACAGTGTTCTACTCTGTTTAGCTTTCTTCTTAGGTACAAAGGAATCTTTTGACTTCCAAATACAATGAAGTATGAAGTCTGAGTCTTAAGCCTTGAGCCCTGAATACTGCAGCTGAGTTCACCTAGAAGTTGTTGTGTTTATTGTTGTCTTTAATACATTATTGAGGTGTTAGAGAGCATTTGTATTAAATAGTTTCTGTGGCTAGTCACAAGATACGTTCAATTCCTCTTGAAATGAGCAGTCCTTAGCTGAATGATGCTTTCTAGTAAGAAACAGTAATGCTTTACCCATGGCCCTGGTTTTCCTCTGAGGAATATGAAATTAAAAGATAGCTGTTTTATGTGTTCAATCAAAAAAAAAACTGTACAACCAATAATCTTTGGTCTGCCTCTCCCTTAACATACACAAAAAGACTCAGTTCATTCCCTTTTCCATCTTCAGGATGCTACTACTAATTAGAAGAAAAATGTGGTATCCTCTCTAGCAAACAGAACTGAAACAACAGGCTCAGTCCAGAACTACTAGTGTCCTCCAAAGCAAAGCAGGGATGTTTGACCAAATAGAAGGGGTGCAAGAACAGCTTCAGGACTACAGTGATAGTCCTGAACATAAGGACTGCAAAATGTGCTTGGACACTTGGCTAAAGACTCAGTTAATACGGAAAAATATATATATAAACTTTATTTTTAGCTTTGTGTTTTCCTACGCTTTCCTTCTTAAGTTTCATAAAGCACTAGTACCATAATAGCCCTGCATCACGTACACCACTAGACCACTACCACAGCTATTAAACACAATCAGTGAGGCATAACTGGCTCATGAGACTTTTTAACATCAAAAGCTAGTGCTGAGACACAGCAAAAGCTATTAAGCTCTGCCCAACTTACTAGCTTCGGTTCCTTGCCGAAAGCTGGCACCAGTACATCGCAGCAACAACTGGAAGATGAAGCAGCTGAGGAAAAGGAAGCAGCGGTGGTTGTAAGGTCTGCCTTATAAAATAGATTGGGAACCACTATTGACAAATTTTGCCTCGTAATAAATTATTGTCTGAAAGGTTATTTCAGCCACAGAATGCTTAAACTAGTCGTCTTCCTGCCATTTCTCAGTGGTTTGTACTTTATCCACTCACCTGTGCATGCTCAAGGTGACTGTAAAGACAAGAGAAAAAGCACTGTAACTTTTTTTTTCCAAGTTAATGCATGTTTACACCTAAAGCTGTTCTATTTGCAATGGAAATCTGTTGTCGTGGACCTTTGCTACTACTGTCATCATTAATGCAGGGGTGCTGAGTTAGGACTGTGTTACAAAACCAAGAAAAAAAGCGCAAAGCTTCTTTGATGTCTTTCAGAACATTCTCCAGGCTTGCAATTGAAAGAACATCTTTCCCTGACAACTTAATACATTTTCAGATATGTTAGCTGGGTTCTTAAAACGTTAAGAGAATTTAATAGCGTTACTGAATTTCCAAATGCAAGTGCTTCCAGCTATAGTATTTCTACCTTTGCAATTCATGTTTCACCAAAGTCATTCACCTTGTAGAGTTCTGAAGGACGATACAACTCTAATACCCCAAAGATCAAACTACATTCCTTCCAGTTTACCAGTTGCTCCCAAACAATCAGCTGAGGAACTGAATCAGTGGAGGAACAGATCACAGATCGCCCATGTAGGTCCTGCACACCAACAAATCCATTCCACAAAAATGGAGCAACAGCCACCTTGTCACATTGTCAGACACTGCACACCGGGTAGCATGCAGTTACACTAACATCTCGCAGCACGTTTAGTTGAAGACAGTTCGTGTTTAATAATTTGAATACATATGCAAAGAAAACAGCCGATTTGAGCAGATGAGAAGGTTTGCAAAGCTTTGCAAAATTATTTCGGATGTGGATCTGTTGTTGTTTCAACAACGCAAGAAAAAGGTTTCCGCTGACATTCTGACATCGCACATCAAGATGGCTTTCTCAGACAAGCCAGCTCTCCTCTGCATCAGCACAAAACTCCATGCTTCCAGACCACGTTAATTTTTAGAAGGACCTCCATCATGGGACTCAAGGAATGACTTCAAACGCTGGCACAGTCGAGCCAGAGGCGTTTCAGCGGTCTCATTGTACGTTACTACCGTCGTGATTTGTAGGCCTATAGGTGTGTTGGTAGTAATTACTTCTCTGCGGGTCGTTTGGCTTGCCTCAGGATCACTTTCTTTCTCTAAGAAAGGGGGAAGGAAAGAAAAGAAAAAGATTAGTAACAGAAGATTTCATCCCCCCTTCATCAGGGAAAAACAGCAGCTACGTATGTATTCAGTCTTCTTGCTGCTTCTCAGATTTTGAGAAATAGACAGTAAAGACCTGGCCAGCGTGCTGACAGAAGTGATTTACCCGGGTAAGTTAACGTGCTGCTGCGCTGCTACTGGACTGATAACAGCACGGCGGCAGCAGCACCACCAACAACCGGCTCCCAAGGCCTCCGCGTCAAAGCTAGCTGCGCGCTACCGCGCCGTACCGAGCGGCAGGCTTCCGAGCAGCAACGAGAGGGCCGAAGAGCTCCTTTCTCATCTCGCTGCAGCACACGGAGGCCGCAACAAGCCACAGGGGCTCCAGGCTCTGCT